CCTTTTGCCGGTTTTTGCAGCCCCGGCTGCTCCGTGCTTCTCGTTCCGCGCTTCACGCCCAGTGCAAATGACGTAATCGTGGTCCAGTTTCCGCCGTCGCCCCAATCTGCCGTTTTATTTTTTATTTTATTCCCCTTTTTTACATCATCTGATTTCTCGCTCAGGTTTGCTATCGACACAGACCCCCCACCCACCCCCTTTCCCGTCCGTTTTGCCCAGCCCACCGGGCGTAGGCATCAGCAACACCATTTTCTCAGCGAGGAATGTTTCGATCATTCCCTGACACTTATGAAAAAATATCTGCTGACGGAGCGACCTAGGCCGTGCGTCCGGGGCTGGCCGGCCCGGCCCCTCAGCGAGCAGCAAGCAGCAAGCTCAGATGTTGCCCTGATGGATCGCCGGCGCGGTGAATCAGCGATAAAAGCAATTTGATGCGTTTCGCCAAATAAACTGGGGATGAATAGGTCCGGTGCCGCCGTGCCGCCCTACAAAAAGGAATCATCGCGTCGCGGTGGCGGCCATGGCGGCGGCAGCGCGGCGCGGTGACGAGGCGGCCTTTGACGGCATCCTGGCTCAGCCCGAGAGGAGAGGGGAGAAGGAGGGAGAAGTGCGGAGCGAAATCGAAAGAGCGGCACTCTGCGCGCACTTTGGACGATTCGGTGCGTGGCCCCGGCCGTAACCCCAAAAAGCTGCTACTGCTGCTGTTGCTGGGCTCCGACCACCTCGCCTGACTGACGCCGAGCAAGTCGTGAGGCTCCACCTGAGACACGCCACGACGGCGCCACGGTCCGCCCCCCGGCGGCGCTCCGAGGGAGGGGCACATCACCGGAACACAATGACTCGAAACAAACGGTAACGCCGGCCCCACCAAGTACCCCCTGCGGCCTTATCTCGCCCACGCACCGAGCACTTACCAGGGCACGGCGGCACGGCGGCACGGCGCGAGGAACACCTACACCGCTTTACTTTAATTTCGTTTCCCACGTTCCACCAAAAAAAAAGTACAAGCAAGCGCAGCAGCAGCAGCAAGGCCCACAACGCGCTGTATATATTTATTATACTGAAGACCCCGCGGAAAGTAAGTCATAACCAGGCGCATCCCCATTTTTCGCGAGACTGCGAGACGCGGGGAAGTCGCCCACTAAAGGGAATAATGCCTCACTTTGGCGAAGCACCGCCGCCTCGGCCGCCACGGCTTTGGCCGCCAAGTCTCGCCCGCAGGTCGCTTTCCGGACGCGGGGCGCGGCGGCGCGGCGATCGGCGACCTCCAGTCCGCGGCCCGGACCTCCAGCCGACACGCACTTTGCTGCAGCGCAGCGGTAAACTAGTGCCGACGCCCGGCCGCTCCGCCCGGCTGCTGCACCGTAAAGTCTGCACTCTTGCACATGCTTTATTAGCGAATGAACAGCCCGGCAGCCTGCTTCATGGCTTCCACGGCCTCCACGGTCTTCACGGCCCGCGGCGCGAGGAGTTTAAGCGCGCCGGACGGACTTTTAAGCCTTCCGCGCGCGTAATATACCTGCCAGGTTGCCACGGCGACCCTGCACCGAGCCAGGCACCGTCAGGGCACGGCCAGCCCGGGCCACAGCCAAGACCACCGAACCTAAACACTGATCACCGCGAGTGGGAGGGAGGGCGAGACAACGCAGAGATTACGGCGGGAGAGAGAGAGGGAGAGAGAGAGAGTTTCGCCCGCAAATTCCCCGGGCAGGCCGCGCGCGAGAAAATACTTGGGAGTTGTCACTTGGCCGGCATCCTTATTTCCAGCTCGGCCACCGCAGGAGTGCCCTAAACTCCCTCCAGCGGCGCCCAATGACAGGAAGGAGGGCATTACTGGAACGGGGGAGAGAGAGAGAGAGAGAAAGGGAGAGGGAAGAGGCCGGGTCGGGAGAGAGAGGGCGAGAGAGCGAGAGAGAGGGTCGCAGTCGTATCATTCGTAATGCTTGTTGACTTTTTACTCCTCGAGGCGACGGCAGTATTTTCTTGCCACGCCGCGCTGTACCGCCACGGCAACTCTCTGCTGCCCCCTCCCCCCTCTTTTTCTCCCTTTTCTTCCCGGGCCCTTGCGCCGCACCCTTTACCTCGGCCCTTCAGCAGGCCTCGCGACCCTTTAAGAGGTAATAACCAACAACAACAAAAAAAAGTATTTGCTTCGCATTACGGCGCTGCCATTGTTCGCTCGATATTCTTTTTCATGGCGTTTCATTATTCATCACATGCTCGGCTCACCCACCGTGCATCCCGGCCAGCCCGGCCGGCTTGCCAGATTTTTCATGCAGATTAACATTTACGGCAAGGCGGGTCGAGGGACGCGGCCGCGCTCCTCCGTCAAAGGGAGGGGGGGGGGGCGTATCATGCTGATTGAAAAGGAGGCGAGACGATCCCGCAACGCATTTCATCAGACTGTCAGTGATATCAAAGTGATATCACAGTATATTGGCGAGGTCCGCCTTGGCTGGCGGCGCCGCGTCGTCCGCCCGCAGCCTCCGCCGCCCCGCCAGCCCCCTCGCCGTTGACGTGTACAGTGTCGTGTACACCGCCGCCGCACCGCGCTGCTCCGTGGAAACAGGGGCCGAAATTAAATTCCCCGTTCGCAGCCTGTTTCCGCGCTGCTCGCCAGCGTGAGAGAAGCCGCCACCTGGCTCATTATTTCCAGTTTTTTTTATAAATTTTCGGAACGCACCCCCAGCCAGCCTGCAGTGGTGGACGCCGCACCCCCTGCGCCGGTCGGTGCAGTGAGGTCCGAGCCGAGCCGAGCCGAGCCGAGCCGGTCTCGTTAGGAGGGCTGCTGAGAACGGCTTCGACACAAGATGGATGGGCGCCGTGTCTACCTACCCTCGGCCAGCCCCCGGCCGGCCTCCAAGCTCATTCCGCTTTCGTCGCTGTCTCTCTCGCACTCATGGGCGCCCCGTGGTCCCGCGGGGTCGCGGGAGACAACACGGTGTTCGGAAAGGGCCGAGGCTGGTGCCCTTGCCTCGCTCATTGGCCCTCTCGTCACGGCGGCCCCCGCCCAGATAAAACAGACGCCATTATCCCCGGGCGCTCTAAGCCGCGGAACAAATTGCAACAGTTGGATATGCGCGCGCCAGCGCGCCTTCGATAAGGGAAGGGCGGCTTTCGCGGCGCTTCGCGCTTCGCGCCGAACCGGCACCGGGACGGGGGCTTCACTTTGGCGCTGCTTCGCGCTTCGGCCTGTCGCAGCCGCGCCCATTTGTAACTGTCAGCCGCATGCAGCGAGCCGGTGAGCCCGGCCGGGGCAGCCGCGGCGGCTACATCGGCTACAAGTGGATGGAAAAACTTTTGTGTCTCGTCGGTCGCCATCAATATTTAAGCGGGCCTTGGCGGCGGCCGCGCCGCCCACCTCGCCGTCGTCCGTCTCGATTATCCCCCGCGTCCGGGGGCGTCGTCCGGGGCCTCGGCCTCGGCGGCCTCGGACAGCGTCACCGGGCCTCGGCCACGCGCTGCCCCCTGGCGTGCCTCGGTTTGTTTTGGCGAGTCCGCGTTGTTGGCCACTTGAACCCCGTCGCCCTCCGGGGGTGCTCCTGGGTCCTCCGGCTGGCCCACTCCAGCCACTACGCATAAAGGAGCGCTCGCAGGCGAAAAGAGAGAGAGTCGGAGGAAAGGGGCGTTCTATATCGATGAGCGTATTATGGACAAGAGACTTCCCCAGCCCGCCCCGCCCCGTGCAGGCCCAACACAGTCCCCCGCGCGATACTCCGTCAGAAAAAAAAAACCAAGTGCTGTCGGCGCAGCAGCCCTCCTGCAACGCAACGCCCTCCGCGGCGCCAGGCCTGCCAACACGCCCCTTCCTTCCTACACTTTTCGCGCCAATTTCACTTTCGGAGAATAAACCGATTGCCGGGCCACTCCCGACCCCGGGCAGGCCACGAGCGGCGGCCGTCCATCCAGATCACTTCTGCCGCTTTTTTTATCCTTGGCGGATTCGAGACGATCGCCTTTGGAAAAAGGGCTCATGCAGTGGAGGAGCAGCGGAGTGAACGGGGCAGGTCAAGCCGAAGTGGGGTCAAAGGGCGAGGCCTGCCGGGCCGGCTGCGCCAAGGCTGCGCCTGCGCCCCCTGCGCGCTGCACTGCGAGAAGTGCAGCCCTGCAGCCTCGCAGAGCACCACAGGGTGTCTCACCCAATATTCCCGTGAAAAAAATTATAATAAGGAGAGACGGGGAGCGGATCAAATGCAAGGAATACCCTTATGAAAAATAATTGAGGCCTGGAACAACCTACGTCCTACGCGCACCCACCCCTCCCCGAAATTTTTGAAACATTTCTGTTTTTATTATTTTGTGAATACCCATGCATGAATTTTAATTTTAAAACGCGCAAAAACTCTCCCGTTGGTGTAGCTGTTTTTTTCTGTCATGATAACCCTTTTCTTGTTCCACTTTTGGCAACACGCCGTCCAATTTGTCTTCCCAATTAGCGATCGACATGTCCAGTCGCACCGAGTGGCACCCAGCGCGGCGGCGCCGGCCCTCAGGTACACTCGTCGGGTACAGTCGAATCTCGCACGCATTCTTTCCGGCCAATCAGAGCAACACGGTGGACCACCATCATCGCACCTGCCGGCCTTACACCGCTCGCACGCCGTGGGCATTGCGGCATTCCCTTGTGAGTCGCGTGTACGCTAGTCGCACTCCACTGTAACCAACAAAAACACAATAGACAACAAAAACGGCAAAACGGCTCCCCCAGGAGGAAAGTGCCACAGTTCGGTTCCCCGTTTTGAAAAAAGAGCGGTCGGAGCGAGCAGGCTGGCTAAAATGTCAAGTTTCTGAACTCCATGTCAGAAAACGGAATTTTCGCCACAACGACGCAAATTGCTTCTTTGTACTGAGGTTTTAGTGGTTCGGAATGCAGGCCACTTCAATAGGTACTGGTTGAAAATTGATGACCATGTTTTATCCACCTTTCGATTCAATTATTACGTTTTTAGTTGGCAACACTGCATCCACGGAGGAGCGCGATCGATGGATCGATCATCGCAAGATCAACAACAACATAACCTCTAAAGCACACAAGGCAGACGACCTCTGAACTGTGTGTCATCAACAGTATATTTATGCGTCGATTTTTGTATCTAAGTTGTAACAGAAAAGCAAATTTATTCAAGTTATAGAGTGCCTTGCATTTTGTCAAGGTTGTTAAATTGCTGCTTTACTCGACTTGTCTGTAGCTATCTGTCTACATTAGTCTTGACTGGATCTGTCATCAGTCATTGATTGACTTTCTGGCTTTTTACTTTTATTGTCTTAACACTTTTTCTTGGAAAAAAATATCCTTTGAGTTTTCTTTGAATCATTAAAGCTGTTCAAAAATAATTTAATTGATGAAAATTTAGTTTATACATAAAGTCTTTGTTGAATGGGACTTTTGAATGACCTAATAACGTTCTGTTAATTTCAGCATAACCATGAGCTGGCCAGTAATGACACTTCGCCGGAAAGTGTATCGGGCAAATCAGATATACCATGTGGACCGTTGGTGCTTGATTTGTGGGCAGGAAGTCAGACATCGATTTAGTGCCCCAAATGATACTTCAAGCGGTTTTGAATGGGAGCTGGTCATAGCGGTCAGCCAATCTAAATGGAATGGGGACGATGATCCCCGAATGGACATTTCACTTAAACCTAAACCGTAAGTTTCTGAATTGCTATCTGGCTAGAGTATGAAGCAACGGTGTAAGCAGTAAAATAATTTTTAATATTTTGACAGGAAACAGGGTCCGGGGCAAGGGCAGAACAAAGCGAGGCTGTATGCAGAGGTTACCTTCACAGTAGATGAGCACCGTAAAAATGATACAGCCCCAAAGCGATACACAGTATTAAAGTTTAACATGGCTCGAGTTGAAGAAGAAGGGTATTCAGAAGTTTTACGAGGAGGGTCTGAAGGAACAGGAATGCCAATCAAACCATGTTTGTCAAAAGTCGTTGTCTCCATAAAATTGATTTATCTTGACGGACCACTGGAAGTGATTACTGTCAATGAACCAAAGCCTAACCCAGAGGATATTCCGCAAAGGCTTGGGGTGTGTTGAAGTATTTCATAGTTCTTAGTACAACTATTCATTTTTTTTTCAAGAAATTTTGCTAATAAAATTTATTTCTTAATGTAGAAACTTCTTGAATCTGGCAGACTAAGTGATGTCATTTTTGAAGTGGAAGGCAAGGAGATCAAGGCACACCGAGCCATCATCGCAGCTATGAGTGAAACTTTCTCAGCAATGTTTGAGCATGATCTTGCAGAGAAGAAGACGGGGAGAGTTGTCATCACTGATTGTGAATTTATCGTCTTCCAAGCAATGTTGACGTAAGTTTGTTTCTTTCACGCTACTTTTGAACCAGGAAAGTGGAAATGTAGAGTGGCTCATTGATTCTCAGGTACATCTACACGGGCGGCGAGCCCACATGGAACAAGTGCGCGGACTTCCCCCTGCAGCTGCTCCTGGTGGCGGACAAGTACGGCCTGATCGAGCTGCGCTCCATGTGCCTGGCGCGCCTGCTGCGCTCCCTCACCCCCGCCAACGCCCTCACCACCTACCTCACCTTCCAAAACCTCAACCTGCCCATGGGGGTCGACTTCACCTTCTCGTACCTCCGCGAGAACAAGAACGCCGTCCTGGCCTCCAGCGCGTGGAGGGACATCCTGGAGAACGATCCCCGGAAGGCGGCCGACATCCTCATGCGGGTGGTGAGCCAGCCGGACACCATGGACGTCAACCTGCCCTCGCTCCTGCCCGCCACCACGGGAGAACACGAGGAGAACACCAAGCGGCAGCGGCAGAAGTGATTCCCCTCCCCTCCCCCTCCCAGCTCCGCCCCGCGCCGCCCCGCACCTCACCGCACCGCCCTGCATGACTTAATCTCCATTCTCACCTCCATCTTGTCATCCATCTCATTACCATCTCATCCCCAGCCAAGTGTGCATTTATCATCTGCCACCATCAACTTCACTTTTTACTTCTTACATATTGGGAAACAAACTAGTCGTTTCATAAGTAAATGAGAGCCACAGGCTGAGATTTGTGTGGTAATATATACCATTAGTGATTTAGTACTAAAGCTTAGTCAATTTGCCTTTTACTGTTACAGAAAGAGACAAATTTATTGTGATTAAAAATTTATACGAAGGAAAACTATGTTTACAGGGTTGACTGCAATATTTAGTGTGTATTAATTATTTTTTACTTATACTGATTTAAATGATAGTTTCCATTTGACACCTCAGCTAATGTTAGTTATAGAAATAAGGAAAAATACCGTAAGATAATTAATTTGCATAATATTAACAGTGTACCTTAAGAAATTGTGCCTGTACTCTCTCATACATTTTAATGTGATGCGTATTGAATGAATTTAAATGAATTTGAATGAATTTTATCTAAATGGTTGTGAACATAAGACATATGTTTTCTACAGGTTACCCCATTTTTTTAAACCATTGCCGTATGTATTTTTGAAATTACATAAACTTTTTTCTATTTTCATTGGCTGCCTGATTTTTTTGCTGTCCCTGACCTCACTTTTCTTGTCCTATCATTAAAAAGAGATTGAATTCTAGCCAGGGCATCCTCCCTTCACAGACGAAAAAAATAAAATCCAAAACAAAGTAAAATCAAGAAGTGGCGGCGGAGGAGAGGGTGGCACCCCTTTGATGGGCTGGCTGGCTGCATGCCTGCAGTGATGACGACGGTGGGCTTGGGAAGGGAGTGGCAGGGAGGGCCCTCCCCCTCTCTGATAGAAATCACACTGCTGCACGTACCGGATCGATGGGGCTGCAGCTAGACGGACCTGTCGGAGCGCGGCGCGAGAAACACTCAGCCTCGCCTCGCCGCCCCCTCCCCTTGGCGTCGCCCCGCCCCGCCCCGTCGGCTCACAACGCCGCACCTTGGCGGGCTGCGCGTCACACTTACGGGCCGCCGTGGCGTGGCGGGGCGTGGCGGAGGAGGAGCGCCGCCAATTTCATTCCGACCAAAATTGAAATTTTATTGACGTGCGCCGAACGCGGCTGCATATTTCATGTCAGGCTTTGGCCTGGCGGGGACGGCACGGCGCGGGACGGGACGGGGGGCAAGGCGGCGGGGCAAGGCGGCCCGGTGTTTATTCCCGGCAACACTTGGCAGCCAACGCCTTCAATCCAATTTGGGGTTAGCGGGGATTATGGCGAGGCGGCGAGGCAGCGGCGGCAGCCTTGGCGGCAGCATTCCCCACGGGGCCACGCCTGGGCCCTGCCTGGGCCTGGCCCTGGGCCACGCAGCCCGCCGGCGAGACGGTCGAGACGGCCGGGGCCGCTGCCCCCTCGCTGCCCCTCGCCCCCCAAGCCACATCATATCCCGGCAGACAAAACAGACAAACAAGAAAACAGTCGTCCTCCGAATAATTTTACGCGCAATCCACCCCGCCACGCCCCGCACGCACATTGCCGGTGAATTGGCGTGAATTTTTGAGGCGCTTCATCCGGCCGGGCCGGGCTGGGGACGTCCGCCGAATGTCCGCCGCGCTGCACCGTCGGCCCGCCCCATTATTCGAGGCCCACGTCCACGTCGCCGTCCACACGGCGCGTCACGCGGCCGCGGTCACGACACTGGCGGCGGCCGAACGTCGCTCCGTCTCTCTCGCACGCAGGGGTCGTCCGGAAAGCGTGCGAGGGCGACAGTCAGTCTGCCGGGCGCGCTGCAGCTGCAGTTCTCGCGTCGCTCTGTCTCTCTCGCTCTTGTGGGGCGTGCCCGGGGGTGCGAGAGAGACAGCGACAAAGCGCGGCACCAGCCTGCAGGCCGTCATAAATAACGCGCCCCGTTGGCGCTTCGCGCTTCGCGCCCACCGTGCTTCGCTGCCCCGCCACCCCGCCACCATTACCCGCTCAATTACGCCGCACGCAAGATCATGCCGCCGCAGTGCCGCAGCCGCCACGGCCTCCACCGCGGATGGCCGGATCGGCCCGCGGAGCGCGGAGCCCGCGGACGACAACAACCACCCTCCTTGGACGGCTCAGCTCGGCTCGGCTCGGGGCACGCCACGCCGCCTACACTCGACACCAGCCGCCGAAGCCGAAAGCAAACACCACGGCCTCACCGCAACAGTGCACCCCGTCGACCTCGTCCACCCCGTCGCCGTGCACGCGCCACCCCCGTGAGCCCCACCGGGCCCGGCCTGCGCGTCAGCGCGGGGTGACGCCGAAGAGCCTTCTCGTCGCTCTGTCTCTCTCGCACCCCTGCGGCACGACGCATGAGTGCGACGGAGACAGAGAGCCCGTTGTTGGGAATCAGCCGCAGCGGCACGGCCTCGTGATGGGCACACCCCGGCGCTTTGGTTGGCTCTGTTTCATTAAAACCAAAACCGCCCGCCGCGCGGCTCGTCGGGATGGCTGCCTGGCTGCCGCCAAAGGGGTGGCGGTGCGGGCGGCGTTTTAACCTCGCCGTGTTCCGGTGCTCGCGTCGACGGGCCGACGGGGGCCGACGGCCACCCCCGCGGGGCCGCGGGGCCGCGCTGCCAGTGGCTGCTTCACCGCTTCGCGCTTCATGTCGTCCGCCGGGAAATGATGGCTTTCCCCGCTTTTTCTTTTCCCCGCCGCGATGCGGTGCGGGAAGCGGGACGCGGCGTGGCTTGGGGCATCGCAGCCATCGCCGCCCCGCCAAAGCCGAGGCCCGTTCCGCGGGGCGGGGCGGGGCGGGGCGGGGTAAGCAAGGCGGCCCGCGGGTGGCAGAGTGAATCGTGGAAGTGCCGCGCGGACTTGACGTCCTGATTTTATGTCGGGTGGCGGCGTGGCGGCGGTCGGGACGCGGCCGCGGATTCCACTCGCCGTTAAAACGAGGCGTGCGCCGCGAAGCAGGGCGGCAGGCGATCCTATCCGAGCAGCGTCGCGCTGTCTCCCTCGCACGCACGCGGCGTCCCGCTGCGGCTGGAGAGAGACGGAGCGGCGAGCACGCCGTCGTGCTGCGGGCTGCAGGGCCTGCAGGGACGCGGCGGGGCACTTGGGCCGCTTCGAATGCGGCCCCCAATAAAACGGCCGAAGATGGCGCGAGCGCGGGCGGGTGGGGTGCGGTGGGGGAACGCCAACTTGAGGAATGCGTTCCGAAATTAGCCGCTCATCCAGGCAGCAGGCAGGTGCGCCATGGACGGGTGCCTGGCCCCGCGGCCCCGGCCCGACTTCGGGGCGCTTTCGGGAGGCTCCGGGAAGCGGCGGCGTGATTGTTCGGCGCGCATTATTGGACGCGGCCGCGGCAATAAAACACAAAAGCCGCGGCGTTCAGCGGGCGCTCTGTCTCTCTCGCACTCGCGGCCCTCGCGGCGCGACGTGCGACAGAGACGGCGTGACCCTAGCAGTGGCGCGGCGCCACCTGACCGACATTGTTCGGAATGATGGATGCGGGGAATTGTTATTCCCGGATTTAATCTGTGTCCCTTCGGCGGACGCGGTAAGGCTGAGGGCCGAGCGGGGCCGAGCGGGGCCCAGGGCTGAAGGCGAGGAAGAGGTGAGGTGACAAATAATTCACTGCGTTTTCGGGGCTCGGGGACGCGGCGGGGCTGCTCGGGATGCCTGTTAAATAATGGAAATGACATCGGTGGTGCTTCCCAGCAGCGGCCGCGAGGCTAGGCCGGGCCGGGCCGGGCAGACCGAGGGGCGGGGAAAAAAACGTTATTTAGGCGACAACGGCGCCACTGGGAACCGCAGGCCGCGGCGGGCGTCGCGAATCAGGATGCGTTATGAGAAACTCGCGGAACGGAAGCGCAGCAGCGCGGCCAGGTCCGCGTGCCTCTCGCGGTTTCGCTTGAACGTGTGTTCCGTCAAATCCATTCATAATCGTCTTGAGCGCGGAGGCGCGTGGCGAGGCGAGGCGGCGGAGGAAGGGTTGGGGGCGTGGCGGGGCGGGGCGGGGCGGGGCGGGGCGGGGCGGGGCGGTTTGGGGCTCCCTCCCGTCTCCTCCAGTCAGCCGCCAGGCACCGCCAGGTGGGGAGCAGTCAGCACGAACGGCCGGGAGCGACGCGGAGCGCGATGAAAAATTCACCACTGCTGGTGTTTTGTCTTCTTATACCCGTCGTTAGGTGTAGCTTAGAGGCACCGCGGCTCGGAGCGGCAACCTCTCCCTCCCCTCCCCCTCTCCCCCGGCACGCAGCCCCCGGGCCTCCCACGCCCATCCCCCAGAGCCGCGGCCCGCAGTGACGATGACAGCTCCCTGCAGTAAAAAAGACAAAGAAAAAAGACACGAAAATAAAAGTAAAATATTAAAAACGGGAGCGGGGAACCCCTGTCGAACGCAGCATAGGCAACCCGTCGTGCACCCGTGTGCCGCAGTGTCCGGGTTGGCCTACCTCGCAGGCGGCGTCCACGCTGGGGCGACACGGGTAAACAGACAAACAAACAGACAGACAGACAGACAAACAAACAGACAGACAGACAGACAGACAGACAGACAGACAGACAGACAGACAGACAGACAGACTGCCGGTGTAATTTGGTCTCAAAGAGCGGCGGTCATGGATTTACATGGATTATGGAGCCCGTTAAGCCGGGCGCGGCGTGTCCGGCAAATGAGGGGATTGGAGGATTACACTTTCGTTCGCGCCTCAGGTACACACAAAAAAAAACGAGAATAACGAGAGGGGGAAAAGAGATGAAATAGAGAAGGAGGGTCCAGAAAAAAAAACAAAAAGAGGGACAGGCGAGGGGAAGCCGGTCGGGCTGGGCCGGTCCCACATGTCAAATTAAGGAGCGTGAAACGGGCGGCACCCGGCGTAACTTCATTTGTGTTTCTACTTCGCAATGAGCCGAGCGGAGCCGAGCGGCTGGGTGAGGGACGGATCATGTTTTTGCCGCCGCCCACTTCCCCCCCTTCAGGAAGCCGCGCCGAAATGCAGTCGCCGGGCCGGGGGTGCCGTAACTCGCGCACTTTCAACGCGCTAACGTCACATAATAATGATATAATCAACTTGCTCTCCTCTCTGTATTCAGTTTTTTTCTCCTTCATAAAAGAATGGATTGAATGAGAAAATGCGAGGCAGGGCACTCTCGCGCCACACGAGCCGCGGAAGTCTCAAACTGGTTCCGGAATGTTCTCCTTCGCCCCCCCAAAAATGGAAATTCGGCATTAAGGCGACTAAGCGGCCCGAAAGCGCCAGTTCTTTGTGGGCCATCTCATTACTTCACCCTTTCCAAAATGTGGCCCGCTTTCCGTCGTAACGCGATGACAAATTTTCGGTCGCATGCACAGGAAGAGAAAGTTTGACAACGAGGCCGCTGCCGCGGGCCGCGGGGGAGGGGGAGAGAGAGAGAGAGAGAGAGAGAGAGAGAGAGAGAGAGAGAGAGAGAGAGAGAGAGAGAGAGAGAGAGAGAGAGAGAGAGAGAGAGAGAGATAAAAATAAAGAAAGGGAGAGGGCGGCAGGGCGGCGCGCCGCGAACAGCTTGGCCAAAGTTTTGAGGGAGTTCTTATAACGTCGCGACACTGCAGCGCCGCCGCGAAGCGAAGCAGTGCGGAGCGGCAAAGCCACG